GTCGGGGAGGCCACACACAAGATTTTACCCGGAGGCACCGGAGTGCCCTCCATAGCCCTGCTTGCTTCTGCGCCCTGACACGTGCATGCCTTCCATGTTTAAACTGGCACAGGAGCGAACCCATTCAAACATTCGTACATCTTAACATTCTGATCGATAATGTGTCTGTGTTTACAGACACAGACCATATTCTTCCCCTTCAACCTCACCACGGGTGCACAGCTTCTGATACACCTGTGCTTTGGTGGGAGGTGGTGGGAGCTCGGTGACAAAGGCCTGCACCCTCACACATGCAGGTGTTTGACAACGACATTGCCTACATTGAGGGTGGAACAGCCAGTGGCTTCTACACTGTAGAGGACACACACTACGTCACCAGGTGAGGGGCTTGTGGGTGGGCGGCACTGACCTGGATGCAGCTTGGAAGGATTGGAGGGAGAGTGTTTGGGGTAAGTTGGTCCCTTGGTGACCCCTCCAAGCCACTTGTGCTGTGGCTTCTAGGATGTACCGTGTGTATGGGAAAAAGAACATCAAGTTGGAGCCTGTGCCACTCAAGGGAGCCTCTCTGGACCCCAGGTGAGCACACATGAGGTGAGGTGGGAGTGCTTGGCCCTGAACTTCCTCCCCGCCACTAGTGAAGAACAGATGTGGGCTCTAGAAGAAGTCTTCCAGCAACCACTAAAAAAATATTTTAGTAAATGTATCCAGGTGACATAAGCAACTGTCTTAGCCCCATAATAAGAGACTTGAGGCGGGGTTGGGGCCTGGAGGTGGTCACTGCCTGTGCCTGTCACAGCCCACCCCACCCTCCCACCGCCCCTGCCCCTCCTGTCCAGGTTTGTTTTCCTGCTAGACCGAGGGTTGGACCTCTATGTGTGGCGGGGGACCCAGGCCACGCTGAGCAGCACAACCAAGGCCAGGTATGAGGGCTGCGCCCTGCTCAGATATGCTGGGGGGTTTGTGTGAAGAAAAACTCACCTACGAAGGGGTATGGCCTTCCTAAGGGATTTGCACCTGTTCTCAGGCTCTTTGCAGAAAAAATTAACAAGAATGAGCGGAAAGGGAAGGCAGAGATCACACTGCTGGTGCAGGGCCAGGAGTGCCCAGAGTTCTGGGAGGCACTTGGTGGTGAGCCCTCTGAGATCAAGAAGCATGTGCCTGATGACTTCTGGCCACCCCAGCCCAAGCTATATAAGGTGAGCTGGGCGCATGGGTGTGTCTGGCTTCACTAGGGGTCAGGTTGGGGGGAAGGGCCTTGTACCGCTGTGATGACTGGTCTTCCATCTGGACTTTGGTGTGGAGAGGGCACCACCTTCTGGACAGGGAGTAGCCTGAGCCAAGGTCTGGAGGCTGGCCCTGAGTCAGGCCAGAAGAGTGTTAGGGTGTGTTTCCTGGAAGGTGGGGCTGGAAAGGGAAGCTGAGTGCCTGGGGACCAGGCCTGAGAGCCTAGCCTTAATTCTGTAGGTGATAAGAAGCCTTTTCCTATGAGCCGGAAAAGGACAAGTTAGAGAATTAGAAACAATAGTAAGTTCTGGACAGAGCAGGCAGAGAAAGCACCATTTAACAGTCCTTCCACTGATAGGATATTCTTAAAATGATCTTGGAGTGGAGTGGAGAAACTAAAGCCCAGCAAGGAGCAGGCAGTGGCCCTGAATGCACACAGTAGGCCAAGCAGGGGCTAGGCTCCAAATCCGGGGCTGTTGTGGGTGGGGCTCATGTCCCCAGATCCTGCCTCTACAATGTTTACCTTTCCTCTGCTAGGTGGGCCTGGGTCTCGGCTACCTGGAGCTGCCCCAGATTAACTACAGGCTGTCAGTGGAGCATAAGACACCTCCCAAGGTGGAACTGATGCCCAGGATGCGGCTGGTGAGATAACATTGGGAGGAGGGCAGGGAGGCTGGATCCTTCCCTGATAAACCAGCACTGGTTAACCTCCAGCCTCTGGCCCCACAGCTGCAGAGCCTTCTGGACACCCGCTGCGTGTACATCCTGGACTGCTGGTCTGATGTGTTCATCTGGCTTGGCCGCAAGTCCCCACGCCTTGTGCGTGCGGCAGCCCTCAAACTGGGCCAGGAGCTGTGTGGGATGTTGCACCGGCCACGTCACACCATGGTCAGCCGCAGCCTCGAGGGCACTGAGGCACAGGTAGATAGTGCAGTCCAGCCTCACAGGCCACGCACCAGAGGCCTCCTCCCCAAGATCCTGCGGACCCTTCAAACCCTGACCCTTCTGTGAACGTTCCTGCTCTAGGGAACTAAACCCAAGCCCACCCCTTTCCCACACTGCCTAAGCTCCGCCCCTCTAACCTCTCCCTCTCTCTCCAGGTTCCTAGGCCCTGCTACCTCCCAGGCCCAGTTTCCTCGGGTTCCACCCTTCTGCAACGTGCCCCTCCCACTTCCTGTTCTTAGGCCACGCCCCCGCATCCTAGGGCGCTGACTTCCAAGCCTCCCCTGACATCCTCCCACCCCAACCTTAACCGTGCCGAACACCACTCCAGCTCGTGCTTTCTGCCCCTTGGCAGGTGTTCAAGGCCAAATTCAAGAATTGGGATGACGTGTTGACGGTGGACTACACGCGCAACGCAGAGGCTGTGCTGCAGGGCCAGGGACTTGCTGGGAAGGTGAAGCGCGACTCTGAGAAGAAAGATGAGATGAAGGCTGACCTCACTGCACTCTTCCTGCCAAGGCAGCCTCCCATGGCGCTGGCTGAGGTGGGGCGGGGCCTCTTGTGATGGGGTGGAGCCTGGGAAGAGGCTATGTGGGTCCCAGGCCTGGGGCGAAGGGACCAGCCCCAGCCCACCAGCGGGGGTCCCCTGCAGGCGGAGCAGCTCATGGAGGAGTGGAACGAGGACCTGGACGGCATGGAGGGCTTCGTGCTCGAGGGTAAGAAGTTCGCACGGCTGCCTGAGGAGGAATTCGGCCACTTCTACATGCAGGACTGCTACGTCTTCCTCTGCAGGTACTGCCCAGAGCGCCTCCCTCGCCCCGCCCTCCCCGCCCTGGGGCCCCTGCTCACTGCCCCTGGCCCTGCAGGTACTGGGTCCCCGTGGAGTACGAGGAGGAGGAGAAGAAGGAAGAGAAAGATGGGGAGAAGGCTGGGGCCGAGGGCAAAGAAGGCGAAGAAGCAGCGGCCGAGGTGGAGGAGAAGCAGCCTGAGGAGGATTTCCAGTGTATCGTGTACTTCTGGCAGGGCAGGGAAGCCTCCAACATGGGCTGGCTCACTTTCACTTTCAGTCTGCAGAAGAAGTTCGAAAGCCTCTTCCCTGGCAAGCTGGAGGTGTGCCTGCCATGCTCCGGCTCCGCCCCATAGCCTCTGGATGTGGGGCTGTGGGGGCGGGACTCATAGCCAAGGAAGGCTTAGCTCAGGAGGGGCAGGGTGGGGTGTCCACGGAGCTGCCCCTGACACTTCCACACATCCAGGTGGTGCGCATGACCCAGCAACAGGAGAACCCCAAGTTCCTGTCCCATTTCAAGAGGAAGTTCATCATCCACCGGGGCAAGCGGAAGGCGACTCAGGGTGCCCTGCACCCCAGCCTCTACCAGATTCGTACCAATGGCAGTGCCCTCTGTACCCGGTGCCTGGCTGGGGGAGGGGCACAGGTGGGCAGGCGGGGTCAATGAGCCACCCTCACTCCTTGCTGACACCCCCCTTTGCCCCAGGTGCATCCAGATCAACACTGACTCCAGTCTCCTCAACTCTGAGTTCTGCTTCATCCTCAAGGTGGGGTCATGGGAATGACCAGGACTATGGGTCAGGGTTGGGAGATGTTGGGGGCACCTGATCTGAACCCTCCGCACACTCTCCAGGTTCCCTTTGAAAGTGAAGACAACCAGGGCATTGTGTATGCATGGGTGGGCCGGGCGTCGGACCCTGATGAGGCCAAGCTGGCGGAGGATATACTGAACACCATGTTTGACGCCTCCTACAGCAAGCAGGTGACCAGGGCAGGCGGAGGCCAGGTAGGCAGGAGAGGGCAGACAGGGACCCCAAGCTGGACCAACTTTTCACCCACAGGTCATCAACGAAGGTGAAGAGCCGGAGAACTTCTTCTGGGTGGGCATAGGCGTACAGAAGCCGTATGACGACGACGCTGAATATATGAAGCACACCCGGCTCTTCCGGTAAGGCTGGGCCCAGACCCCTGCCCCAGCTTCCTCCTGAGTTCTGGTCCTGCTGCTGATGACCCTTAGTCTCCCCCTGATCCTTGACCCCCAGGTGCTCCAATGAGAAGGGTTACTTTGCAGTGACTGAGAAATGTTCTGACTTTTGCCAAGATGATCTGGCAGATGATGACATCATGTTGTTAGACAATGGCCAAGAGGTGAGACCCCTGAGGACCCTGCCCGAGGAGCTGACCCACTTTTAAATGGGAATTAGGCCAGAAGGTGGGGGAGCTCCTAAGTCCCCAACGACACCATCTCCCGGCCACACCCACAGGTCTATATGTGGGTGGGGACCCAGACGAGCCAGGTGGAGATCAAGCTGAGTCTCAAGGCCTGCCAGGTAAGCTGGGCTGAGGGGAGGGCTGAGGCCAGCCTGGGAACCTAGAAGGCTGGCCAGAGGCTCTCACACACATCCTGCTCACCAGGTGTACATCCAGCACCTGCGCGCTAAAGAGCACGAGCAGCGCCGCCGCCTACGCCTGGTCCGTAAGGGTAATGAGCAGCATGCCTTCACTCGCTGCTTCCATGCCTGGAGCACCTTCCGAGAGGCCCTGGTCTAGGGTGATTGCAGGGCCCTGTGGGAACCCCAAGCTCTGGGTAAGGGGGGAGAAGGTCCTCTCTTCACCTACCACCTGCCAACAGAGGCTATGTGCTGGTGGCTCCCCCCACTCTGGGCATCCCCCAGTGCCACCGTCCCCAGCAGCACAGCCCAAGGACCACCAACAGGGGTAATGCTGCCTGGTGCCCTAAGGGGTCTTGGCAGTCAGACTCCCTCCAGTGTATGAGCTCACCTGTGATATCCCTCCCCTGCCAGGGATGAAGCAGATATGGTTGTCCTTTAAGAGATATTAAATGCTTTTATTTTCAATATTAAAAATCAGCATTTTTAATATTAAAACAGTGGTAGTGTTAACAAAATACAGAAAACCCCCCCAAGGTAAAGGTACAATCTACGGGAAAGACCCATTCTTACCCCCGCCCCCCATACACACACCCGACAGGCCTGTCTGGGGTACCCATGTGGCTCCCAGTCTCACTCACTCATTCTCACACACATTTCATGTCCAAGCTGGGGGTGGGGGACATGCTAGCCCAGGAGCAAGTACCAAAATAGTTTTAGAAGTGACTGTCCAGCCTGGCACTGTCCAGTCCAGGCATTAGAAAAATATTCTTTGCAAAAGGAGGGGAAAGGAAGGTGGAGTGGGAGTGGCATGGGCTGTCAGCCCCACCTGTCTTTGTCCTGTGGCACCTGTCCTCCAGGGTACTGCCTACAGAAGGGGCCAGTCCCAAAACACCCCCAAGTTCCAGGCCCACACCCGGGGGGCAGGGTGGGTGGGTGACGCTGGAGCCTACAGGTTAGCAGGCATAGGTCTATGTGAAGGGCTGGGAAGAGCCAGGGGTCCTGGATCCCAGCTCCAAGCAAGGCAGGTGATGGCCAGGTGGTTCTGGCCTTCCTGGTAAAGGAAGAAAAGAGTCAGAGAAAGCCAGGGAGGCCAAAAAGAGGCTACTCAGGTGCCACCACTCAGCCTCCTCTGAAGGTCAGGCAAAAGGGTTGTCCCACCCATCTGGGATGAGGGCCCTGCAGTTAACAGCCTGAGGAGGACTGGCCAAGTCTTAACCACTGACCATATCCTGCCCACTAAGGCCAGGCTGTGGTCAGGGTATCCCCAGCAAGACAGCTGGGGTCTCTGCCTGGTTGTGTGAGTAGGGGCCCAAGGTAGCAAATAGGCCGAACAGACTTATGGGCCCCAGATCTGGACATGGAGCCACAGTGAGACTGCAATGGTGGCCAGTCAGTTTCAAGCCAGGCCCCATTCTCAAGGCTTACTGAGGAGGGCCCAGCCTTGTGCCTGGGTGCTCCCATCTGCTGAAACGAGCTGGCCAAAGCAGTGTGAGCCCCAGGCTGCCCGCCTCTGTTCAAAATGCCACCTATAACATCTTGAGCTAATGGGCTGGCTCTTTTAATATCCGACTATGGGAATTATGTCTGTGTGGGCCCCCAGAGCCTCTGCCGGACATGCCCAGGCAGCAGCCAGGCCTCAGGGAGTACTGTCAGTATAGGACCTGCTAGGATTTTAGGTGTGAAACCAGGGTGGGTGTAGGGGGCCGGGGTTGAGGCTGAGAACCAGGTAGAGCTGGATCCCCCAGACTTGTAGCACCTCATTTTATCAGGATGGCACCGGCTCGAGCCTCGTCTTCCACCAGGTTCCTCAGATTCCTCTCAGATTCCTCTGAAGTGCTAGGGAAATGGGGCGGTGGTCAGGGTCTGGAGCATGGCCCCCGCCTGGGTCCTGCACACCCAGCTCAGACATTAGGTTGCCTGATGGTGGGGGAGAGAGGCTGGGGATCCTGCCCGCCCACCTCACCCCAGGAAATCCTTCACGTCTTCCACTGTGATGTCCCCTATTGTGTCCAGAGTTGTGTCCGCACTGGTGGCTGAGTCGATGGACATAGGCGAGAGTACAGCCTCCAGCGGCTCAGGGGTGTCTGCAGGGAGATGGTCAGACCTCTGTGAGGCTCTGAACACCCTCTGTATCTGGGGACCCAGCCCAAACCCAGCCCAGCAATGACAGGCCCCATACCCCTCTCCTGCCCGGCACACCCCATCCCTCCCCAGACTTCTGGCCTTGGCTCAGCTGCTGCCTCTTGCAGAGGCCTGCACTGACATCTGGGCTGATTTGAGTCCCATTGTCCCTATCAGACCCTCACCAGCTCCCTGGCTGTGGACAGGATTAGGGCTTCCATCACGGCTCTGCGGGGCCAGGACGATGCCTGGGGTCCCGTTAGCCTGGCTCAGCTTGGGTGACTCTTGGAGGCTGTAGCTGCAGAGACAGGGCCGTGACGGGGTCACAGGCAAGCACCTGAAGGGCCAAACCCCATTCCCAAGAGCTAGGACCAGACAGGGGTGACACCAGGGAGGGCCACCCTTGCTCTAGGCACAATGACACACAAGGCCAGGGGATGACAACGGCCTTGGGTGGAGGCCTCCCGAGCCAGGGGCTACCCCTCCACACACCTGGCACGGGCAGCACCATGGGGCCAGCTGAGGTCCAGAGAGCACAACGGCTCTGTGATGTTCCGGGCACTTAGGGAGAAGCGCTCAAACTCTGATGGGGAAATAAGGTAAAAACCTGGGTGGGTGGGAGACAAGAAGGGAAGACGGCACTCAGGAGACATGATTCCAACCACAGCCCCAGAGTCATTCTCTGCCGTGCACACACTACCTGGCCCTCCCCAACCCTGGCCAGGTGCTGTGTCCCCAACTTGGAATGCCCCTTCTGCTGACACTGCCTGGGAACTCTCCGGGACCCACCTGGGTCCCTTGCACCAGAAAACCTTTGCCTCACCCTGGCCGTGGCGCGTGAAGACACAGGAGGCGATGCCACTGATGTCCTCCTTGCGGATACAGGAGTAATGCACCTGGGGCCGCAGGCCCGGCACGGAGAAGACGTGCACATCCCCCAGGTTGGTGAGGCAGGCCAAGCAGGTCTCAGCATAGTCCTCGCAGGCCACGCTGGCAAATGTGGCCAGTGCCACCTTGCGCACACGACAGCCCTCGTGGGCTGTCAGCTTGAACTTGGTCTTGGCACTCACCTTGGGTAGTGTAAACACCTGGCAACGCAAGTGACCAGTGAGCATAGCTTGATCCTACCCACGCCCCCAGCCCCTACTCGGAGCCCAGCCTGACACACAGGCCTGTGCCCCTGGCCACACTACCACCGCTGCCTGAATCCCCTCCCACCCTGAGCTGCCACCCTCAGACTTGACCTGGGCCTCACTCTGCTCCCAGGAACCTCCCAGGCCCCCTCCTGAGATACCTGGCAAAACCAGGCACACTGAGCTATAAGGGTTAGATGGCTGATGTCCTCCCAACACCATGACTTCCTGCCAGACAGACCCCATGGGCGGTCAAGGGGTCTGGTGGGGACTCGGGGGAGAGTCCTGCGGGAATACAGCAAGCTGAGGGAGTCATCAGCATTCTTCAGGGGCACCTCTGCTGGCTGGGTGAGGTCTTGGAGGGGGGGGTCTCAGCAGGCAGGGGATATAGGCAGGGCAGGGGTTCCAGTGGTATCTAGGAGGTGGGAGCCTGGAGGGGGTCTCCAGAGCAGCTCACCTTGAATTGCTCCTCAGATGCAATGAGCACTGCATGGCCACCCTGCATGTCTGGCGCCTGTGCCAGGTCCTGAGAGGCCTCATAGGGCTCGGGCAGTGGGCGGCCACGCCCATCCAACACGGCAATGGCCACCACGGGGGCACGATGCATCAGCTGTACCTCCTTGCCCAGCACAGCCTCCACCACCCTCTCGGGCCGCTTCTCGCTGCCTGCCGTCGCTGCTGGCACCTCCAGTGCATAGGCAAACACAGAGCCTGAGTTGGTGCCTGCCCACATGGTGGGTCCATGGTGGGCCGCTGTGGGGCAAGAGGCTGGTGAGGTAGGTGTCTGCCCATTTACCACAGGTTCCTCCCCTCCTCTGCTGACACTGTAGGACCCAGGACTGGTTCTCTTCTGTCCCACTTGTTGTGGCTTTAGGCACCTTCCCTATACTGCTGACCACAATCAGCTGTGGAGCAGCTCTCCTGAAGAGGCAGTAACGTCCTCTCAGGTATCTCTGTGAGGAAAGCAACAGCATACTAACTGGACCCTGATCTCTGCAACCCCATTCCACTGTACCCTCAGCCCCATCACAAATCCCCAACTCCCTCATCCCCCACAGCCCATCACCAGTCCTGTCAGCACACTCGAATAGCTGCCCCAAGGGTGCATCAGGGGTCTGACCACATCCCTGCTTCCCCACCCCTTTCAGTGTGTCCTCCATGCGGCAATCAGACATGGAGTCCAGCCCTGGGCTGAAATGAACTGAGCTATCTCGCCTGCCTCCCTGTGTGAGCTAAACCTCTGGAGAAGACCCATTAGTGGAGAATCAGAGCTAAAAAGCCAAGAGCCAAGGTAGGCCCGAGCAGTCATGGCTGTGTCCCCTGGGTGAATGGATGACCTCGGAAACAACCACTGGGGCAGCCAAGCCCCAGCAACAAGTCAGTGAGCACCTCACGCAGCTGACACCCAATGTTCAGGCAGCTGGGGACTGAGCCCCATGGGCCTTCTCACACGGACTGGGCAGCATAGAATAAGGTACAGGCTCCTAGGGCTGCCACATCCAAACAGTGGGAAAATCCACTGGGTAAAGGACCCTCAACAAACAATACCAGAAGGGGTTCCTTCCTCAGGTGCAGAGAATAACAGCTGTGAAATACCACATGTGGACTGCTGGATGGTGACCCAGCAGCAACCATAAAAAGGCATTTTTGACAGAGCCACCTGTGGACCAAGTGTGACAAGACTCTGGGATCAGCGTCAGCTCCAAGGGGTGCAATGCAGGCACCCCTTGCATGGCTAGAGGTTACATCTGTCACACAAACTGAAGTGCTCCAGCAAGGTAAATAACAGAGTACGCAGCAACAGCAGCTCTAGCTGAGGCAGAGGGGGTGACTATTTATATTTGTGTGTGGTTGAAAGTCTACAAGTTAAAAACCAACGAATGAATTACTAAATAAACCTGAACACCTGGGGTCAAAGCCAGTTCCTTAGCAAGGCAGATGGTACCAGCACCCCCCGGTGCCCTCTCCCTTCACTGCAGGCAGCCTCCCAGCCCACCCAGGGCCTCAGCACTGACAGATTCCACACTCTCCTCCCCCCAGTCTTGAGCTTTCAGATCTTAGAGGTCCTGCTGGCCCACTCACCAGCCCTGTGTCACCAGAAACTGCAGGGGAGCTGTTTCAGTGCAGGGCAGCCTGTTGCCAGTGCAACACATAGGAGGCACCCAGTAATGCTGTCCAATCCCTAGAAGATGATGCATGCCCCCCAACCCTGCCCATTTCCTGGAGGCCAACTGAAGCCCATTTCTCCAACCCATCCCTTCCCTGGGCTCACCATCTCGGAGAAATGTGTCAGCGAAGTAGAGGCAGCGCACCACGCCAGAGAGGGAGTCATCAGCTGAACGTGGCTCGATGCGTCGCTGCACAGGCGTCATTTCCAAGTCATGGGGGCAGGCCTGCTCTGCCAGCTGCGCATTGGCCTCCTGCAACTGGAGGAGTGTGGGGCTCCAGGACACTGTGTTTTTCCTTCCACACAGCCCAGCACCCCATCACCTTCCCCAGCTCACTCTGACCTATCCAGGGGCTGGGGAATGCTGAGGGGTGGGCAACAGACAGTGAACAGACACAGGGCTCCGGGTTAGGGCCCAAGCCTGGCTTCACTTATACACTACAGCCTCGGGAGGTGCCGCCTGCCAGCCTGGCCCCAGCTCACCTTGCTGTTGGCATTAGCAGCCCGCTTCTTGCCTGAAACTCGGCTCTTGCGAATGCGCCGGAAAGACTGGCGCAGTGACTTCTTGAGTGACTTCACCCGGGAGAGTGGCCCCTCCATGGCCAGCGAGTCATTGGGATGAAGTGTGCACCTGGGGGCAGACAGGCACCAGCTGTGCCATGAGGCAGCCTCCTGGAACAGCCCCCATGCTCCTGCTGGCCCCAGGGGCATCAAGGACCCCAGGTCAAAAGCGCAAGACCCTTTCTGCTGCCAAGCCAGAAGCTGGTAGGCTTAAAACTCTACCAGCAGCACTTCACATAAAGTTGAAGCTGCCAAAAGCAACAGAGCCACCTTCGTCACACCCAGTCTTACAGGGAACACTGAGGCCTAGGTGGGAGAGGGCAAACACCAGAGGTCCCACAGGAGCCAGGCTCTGGGAGGAGGTGCAGCCCCCACCTTGCCTGGCTGCAGCCCGCCCCCACGCACCTGGCCAGCACAGGGCTCTTGCGCTGGTAGTCAAAGAGGCCAAAGCCATGACTGGTGCCAAAGGCCACGAGGTTCCACTCTGTGTGCAGCGTGACAGCAGTGACGGCGGCAGGCGGCAGGCACTGAACGAGCATTCGGGGCTGGAAGCCAGCAGGCCAGGGCAGGGGCCCTGTGCGCGGGCTCAGCCGCTCATGCCCCTTCCACGTGAAGCCCTCTCGGTCCTGGAGGAGGTCCATGCTGGCCACACTGACTGCCTGCTCCAATGGCACATCACTGAGCTCCAGCACCAGCACCTGAGCCCACAGCCAGGCAGGGGAGGGGTCAGCATAGAGGATAGGGCCACCCATGCCCCACCTGGGCCTGCAAAGCCACTGCCAGGGAGGCCCCAGAATTGTCTCCAGTTTATCCACTGAGTAAGCACTTACTGAATGCCTACTATTTATGAGAACCTGCACGGAGGAACACAGTGGTGACCGAGACCCACAGACCTCTGCCTGCTGGAACAAAGTACTCCCCCAACACAGCGTCTCCCACTTAGAAAGCACACACCAAGCACCTTCTGTACACTCTATGAGTGCCGGAGGAGCAGCACTGACCCAGGCCCACTGGCCCTGTCCCTCCCAGGGCTCATCTAATACCTGTGCTGCTCCAGCCCTGGCCCTAGCCCTCCATGGTTCCCTACAGCCAGAACTTGGGCTTAAGACCCCAACAACAGGCCCACCTCCTTGCTGGCCTCACCCAAGCCAGCCCAACCTGGGACCCCATTCCTATTTCTGGGCTTTTGCCCATGCCAGTCCCTTTGCCACTTCACCAGACCCTCCAGTTTGGTCCCTTTTCCAAAAACCCCTCCAAAACCCTCAACCCTGGAAACATCCCAGGCTTACCTGGCCTGCAGTGCCAGCCACCACCATCTGAGCTGTGTACTTGCAAAGTGCCACCTTCTGCACCCCTAGCCGAGGATCATCACTGTAGGGGTCAAAGCAGCCCACCTGGGGAGTGGGATGGAGGGATGACACAGGGCAGAGCCAGGACCAGGCTCCTCGGGGGAGGGGGAGGGGCCCACCTTACGGAAGGGCGGCCAGTCATCCTCAGTAGCCTGGGCCAGACTGTCAGCATGCTCACAGTCTGTCTGGAAGAGGCCAGCTGTGCTCAGCTTGTAGAGTGGCTGCAGTGCCACACCAGAGGCGTCCCAGAACCGCACGGTGCCATCCTCGTGGCTGCAAGGGGGAAAACATCATGCCCATGCCAGAACCCTGCACATTCCTCCATCCACTCATCCAGTGACCACTCACTGAGCACCTACTATATAAGCCAGACACTGACCAAACTACTGTATATGGCAAGTAGGAAGCACCTACAGATTAGGGCAAAGACATACTGAGCACCTACTATATGCCAGGCCACATGAACCTGGGCCCATCTAACAGAGTGAGAGGTGCGGAAACACTCACCAGTGTGATGAATAGGAAATGGAAAAGAGGGTAACCTAGGGAACAAAAGACTAAGAGGTTCTGCACCCACTGGGTCATCTATAAAAGTTGGTCAGGAAGTAGCCAGTTACAGAGCAGGGATCAGCCGGGGCACAAGGCCGCAGGAGAGGAAGGGAGGGGAGGCAGGTCCATCTGGGGTACTGACTCAGATGAAAAGCCAGGCACAAGAAAGAGGGTGAGTCTGTGGGGCTGCAGGCTGGATGGGAAGCCTCCAGCAGCCCCGAAGGCCACAGCAACATTTTTAAGCAGGAGAGCGGAGGCAGAGCCAGAAGCCCCAAGATCCCAGCACAAGCAAGCAACAGGGGCAGGGCAGGAAGTGAGGGCCTGAGTCATTGGGCACGTCAGCAGCCGCCAGGCCCAGGCCCTCTAGCACCTGCCCTGGGCAGCCCTACATGGGCCAGCCCAGATTTTCCGGTCCTAGGGCAGGCCAGGTGAGTGGAGCTCAGTTCCAGGCCAAAAGGCAGGGCAGGGAGTGGCTTAAACCAGGGTCAAGGGAAGCTACAAGCCCAACCCACCCTACTAGAGGGGACAACCAGGTCCCTCCAGGGGCCAGAACTGAGTCACTGAGCAGGCCCAGGCTGAGCTCTCCTACACCAGTACAGGCTGCACCAGGTCCCACTCGCCCACACACACACACACACATCACAACTATGCTTAGCCATGGGACTCAAAGGTCCACCCTACCCAGTGAGCAGCAGCCCTCGCTGAGATGGCTCCTGGGCCAGGCTCCGGCCCCCGGTGATGGGCCAGCTCTGGGGGAGGAGGTGAAGATGTCAGCAGGTCAGGGCACACATCTTTTCCCTCTCGCCCTGGACCTGGCATCCAGGACCCCAACTGCTTCTGAGTCTCCAGTGTACAAATGCCACATTCCCACCTCTGGGCCTGTGCTGGGAAGCACCCTTCACAGGGAACACCTGCCCTCCCCAAGGCACTACCCTGCAAGGTGCCCAGGTACACACCAAGGCACTGGAGGCGGGCTGGGGGCTCTGCTGCTCGCCAGCGCTCACAATGCGGGCCCACAGCTTGGCAGGGACATTGGCGACGTGGGCCGAGCAGGTGATAGCAGATGAGTGCAGTGGGGCCAGGTATGGAGCAGGCACGACAGGCCAGCCAGGCACTTGCAGGTCTAGCACCACCAGCTCCTCTTCCAGCAGCACAGCCAGGGCCTGGGGCTCATCAAACTCTGCGGGACAGGGGCAGGGTGAGGAGCACGGCCACAGGCAGTGCCCAGTACAGGGTTGGGGAAGGCAACACACCGTCCTCAGGTCGAGTGCTGTGCACCGTGAAGAAGTCAATGATGCGGGAGGTGAAATCCAGTGTCACCAGTGTCTCAGCCCGGAGCACACTGACACAGTGGCGATCACCATAGCTGGCACGAGGCATGCCACCACTGAAGATGATAAAGTGGCCCCTATACAGGGACCAGGGAGCATGTGAGCCACCTGGGCCTGGAGCACACGCCTACACACCCCAGGGAGAGATCACAGGACATCCCTGTACCCCCAAACCCATCCTCTGCTCCCAGCCAGATGTAGCCCTGGACCCACGCCTCAGCCCAGCTCCCCACCTACCCAGATTCACAGCTTCGCCACAAAATCTTACTGATGGCTTTGCAAGGGAAGGGTCCTAGAGGGGTGGGATAGTGTCAGGCTCATTTGCTTGCCAGGAACCAAAGAGCTGATAGTTGAATTTCTCACCCGTCCTCTCATCCTGCCCACTTCACTCCCCACCTCAGAGATGCTACCTGTCTCCCCAAGGGAAAGGGTGCTGCCCCAACCATATACCCCCACCAGGGCAGGTCCCACCTTTGCAGATTTGGCCTGGCACTGCCACTCTCCCCAACTCCTCTGGGATGCCCCCACTAAGGCCAGGAAGCTGTAAGTGCCTGAGCTTGGGGTCACCTGTCAAAATCTACGCTCAGGCAGTGGGGCCACCCTCGCCCTGGTCAGCACTCACCGTAGGGCACAGTGGCTACATCAGGTTGCATCACTGGGGAGCTGCCAGTGTCTACAGACCAGACAGCGTAGCTGCCATCGCTGTGCGAGCTGACCAGCGTGCTGCCACTGCGCTCCCAGCACAGGCTCTCCAGCTGCTGTGGGGCAGTGCAGAGAGGCGTGAGCAAGTCAGCCAGGAGCAGAGGGCCCCGGCTATGGACTCTGGCCTCCCACACAAACCTGGTTCCCCAGGAAGATGCAGTCCGCACACTGTGCAGCCTGGTTCCAGATGACCAGCAGGCCCCGGCTGTAGCCAATGAGGATCTTGGTGGGGTCCCGCAGGTGTCCCTGCAGGGACTCCACAGGGCCCAGTGCCTTCCCACACCGGTAGTCATCTGGCAAACTGCAGAGGGAGCACAGGTGAGCCAGCAGGAGCACTGCCCAGGCACAGGATGGGTGTGGGAAGTCTGCCTGCCTCTCACCTTCGCAGAACCTCATCAGGGCCAAGGGTCTGACCCTCGATCAGCATCAGGGTGGAAACATCCAGGAAGAAGACACTGCCACCTTCAGTGCCCAGGGCTGCCATGTTGCTAGCAGCCACCAGCAGCACCACTGTGATGTGGGCAAGGGTGGGCGGGCCACTGTGAGAGTCAAGGGGAGGTATGTGAGGGGGTGGGCCCATCCACCTGCTGAGGAGGATGCAGAGAGTGCTGAGCTGCTGGTAGCTCATTTCGTCCCCTCTGTACTCACTGGACTCTGATCATCCAGTGGGCTGGTGAACCAGGAAGCCAACAGTAATGGCACTGTTATTAACTTGCTCAATTATTCATCACGATGTCAGAGGGGAGAGGAATAAATATAGGTTCCCCAGGTCTTGGAGATGGGCTCCCAAGCTCCTCCCACCAACCAGGAGGAAAAGGCAGGAACCAGGCTACTGCCCAGGCCAGGCCTAGGAGGCCAAGAACATACAACTCCCTTGAGCCCTACCCAAGAACCCCACCAGCCCTCTGGGGGTCTCCCTGACTTTTCAGGGGAGCCCCAGATGACCCTGCCTGCAAAGGCTGGGAGACCCAGTCATCCACCCTTGGGCTAGAGTTGGATGGGGCTGTCATCCAGCCCTCAGCAGGAGCAATACAAGCCTCTCACTGAACTGGGGACAAGGCTTCTGCAGCATGAAGGACTCACCCACTCTGGCCATCTCAGCCAGAGCCAGCAGGGCCAGGGACCGAGAGGCCCCTTATACTCTCATCAGAAGTCCAAGACACTCCCTTGTCCCCTGGACCATCCTGTTAGTACCTCACATAGCACAGCATGGCAGGACCCCCCCTTACGCCCAAACCTGCCCTTTCACTGTGTATACTATAGCCAGTCTAGCCCAGTTAGAGACACCAAGGGATCTTTGCTGATGTCAGCTCAGCTTAGACCTGCCCTAGACACCCCCACCACTACAGGGAGTGCAGGCCCACCCACCAGGCATGAGAAGTCTGGGATACAACGCACACCCTCCTGTCCCGCACCTGCTGGTGTTCCGGTGCTTCTGCAGCACAAACCCCACCTGCTCACCTCAGGCTCAGCTGGACTTCCCCTTCTAACACTCACCAAGTCCACACAGCACATCTTACTGAAGAGGGGTCCAAACACTGCCTTCTGGCACCCAGGCTAAGCTCAACGTACCCCACCACCATAAACCCCAGCCCCCAAAGTAGCTTCCCATCCTCCCACCATGCCTTTACAAGGCTGGCCCCCCATGTAGAGCCGGACGGCCAGACAGTGGCCAAGTCCCCCAGTACCTGGCACCATCAAAACCCAGCCGACTGGGCAGCTGAAAGCTGAGCGCTTCCTCCAGGTGGGCACAGCCATTCTGATGGACAATCTCCCAAAGATGCAGGCTGCTGTCATCCAGCAGGGTCAGAAGGCGCCCCTGGTGGGTGAGCAGAGACCAGGACTGGGCTGGTGGGACAGAGAGGGGGAATCTGGGGGCCCCAAACAAGCCAAATGGTGGCGGCAGAGGCTCACCTGGCCAGGCAGGAAGTGCATCTGGGTGACTGTGGCCATGTCTCGGTGTAGGCCTGTGAATTCCACGCCAGGTGCACCATAGCTGAGGGTGGGTCAAGGGTAGAAAGCAGCAGGTACAGGCTGAGATACTCAAGCCTCCTCCTTCTCCAGGACCATTCTGACAGGTCCCAGCCAGGCCTGCCTATCCAGGAGTCCTCCGAGTTCAGGTGGGTCTCCCTCCCTGAAAAAGCACTGTTTAGCACCCCCAAGTTATCCTCAAGCTCAGAATGCAGGCTCTAATCAGCTCCTGTAAGTCATGCTGTGGCATGACCCTCACTTCTTCATCTACAAAATGGGATAGGGACTTCCACCTTATAGGGCCGACACAAGGCAAGTGAAACTAAAACACGCTCAGCACACATGGCTCAGTCCTGGTACACGGCCTGGGCCCCACCCTGTGCCAGCCTCACATGTGCCTACGCACGAGAGCTAGCCCCATGGGCATGTTGCACAGGCGGAGAGGCCAGGCCAGGACCTGGCAAGGGAAGCCATAGGTAGAGAGGAGTCCAGGCTGCCACCCTGCACAGTTCCAGGCCCAACACCAGCCACGGGCAAGGAAACCAGCCTTCCCAGCAGCACCACCGAGAGAGGAGAGACTGAGGCCTGTGCATTTCACAAACCATCAAACAGAGGCTTAGAGAGGTTGGGTGACCTGCTTCAAGTGCCTGGCATCAGTACCGGAGTCCCAGCAATTCCAGGTTTGACAGTGGACAGCTGGGTCTAGGGGGCCCTGGAGACAGGCTAAGGGAGGGGTCAGCAGCGTTGCCTAGAGATGAAGCAGGAGCCAAACCGTTGCTTGGAGCTGGAGTTGGGATTCCCTGCAGGAGCTGGGAGAACACAGAACAGAAGACAAAAGAGGGGGCAGGAGTGCTGGGTAGGAACCAAAGTCGCCAAGGAGACGGGGGAGGGGCAGCTTTTGTCTAAGGCCTTCTTCTCAAGCCTCAGTTTCCCAGCCTAGGGGTGGTTTGTGGGGAGGAGGGAGGGGCAAGAGGAGAGCTCTGGTCTCCTCTGAGGCTCTCCTAGTCTGTACAACAGTTCTTTCTAAGACAGAAGAGCCAGCGCCCAAGACAGACCAGGACAGCAGGAAGGCCAGCTCAAGAGGCTAACAGAGCCTCATGGAACAGGGCACTAATGAGACACCAACTATAGCAACACAACACGTGTGTGGGACAGGACAGCACCTTGGGGGGCAGGAGTAGCAGGCCAGGAAGCAGGTGGCCTTGGTGTGGTCTTGTGGTTGTGGTCAGTGGGGGGAGGGACCGTCCAGCCAGCCCAGCCACACCCCCTAGTGTAGGAAAGCCCACCAGCTGCAGGCCCCAATGCCCACCCCTTCCCTCCCCTCTGCTTTACAAGCATTTACTCATTTTGTGCCACCTGATATCCCTGATGAGGACACTGACGACCCAGAGGGTCATGTGGGAAGGGGTGGAGGTGGGCACCCTACACCAAGCAGCCACCAGATGCTCTGTACCTCAGTTTCCCTGAGTGGCAGGGGGCTCACTGCAGGCAGTGGAAGTGGGATGCTCCACACCAGTCAAGAAGGCATTCAGCTGTCTGCTTGCCCCACCCCACCTCGAGCTTACAGAGAAAATGCCTGCTTTGTGCAGCACACACAGCCCATTGTGCAACCGCCAGCATCCAGGTGGGGGCTGAGCCTTGCTCTCCACGCTGAGCCTGGCACTGCCCCCAGCCCCTTGGCTGAACACATGTATCTCACATTCATAAACATATGTGTGCCCAGTCACCAGGGAAAGGCCCATTGTGTGACCCTGGTGCATCCACCAACCTTACCAGGTCCTGAGACTGACCAGCACCATGCCCCAGCCACCCTGTTGGCTGAAGTGCAGCAAGGGACAGCTGTGACCACTGTAAGCTCAGCCCCGCTCCCTGATCTCTATAAGGAGGTGTCTCGGGGTAGAAGTTGCACCAGCCCCCACCAGGATCCAGACACCTGTGCATGGCTGTACAGGCTGGGCCCTGCCCAAGGAGCTCAGCACACAGGGAGCTGCAGGCAGGTGGTCCTCACAGCCCCCAAGGATGCGTCCCGCAAAGGATACATCTTGACGGCCCCAGACCTGGTGCCAATGGCCATGATGCGAAGCTCGGGATCGAAGGCCAGGGCGCTGGGCTGGTTGGGGAAGCCATGTTCCACGGTCTGTGGGGGAGGGGAGGGCACTTGCACAAGCACGGCTGCCCCCAGCCCACCCTGAGGCCCACCCCAAGGCAGCCTTCAGGCTCTGCTGCTGCTATACATGGAGACTCAAGCTGGGTCCACCTGTGCTCTGTGTCCTTAACTGTGAAATGGACAATTACACCTCCAGTTGGTACAGAAGGGTCTGAGCCCCTGGGCCCAGCAGAGGCCCAGGCCAAGTCCCCATCCCTCTCAGCACCTGTGTTCATCCCACTGTGTGCAGAGCTCTAGCACAGACAGGGAGAGCAAGGTTCAGAAGTGGACCTCACCTGTCCCAGGGGATGCTCTGCACCCCAGTCCTAGAAGCAGACTGAAGCTTGGTGATGTGTCAAGCTGTCCAGGGTACCCTGAGAGGTTCATGGCATTCCCCACAAAGGCCCCACATAGAAATCAGAGGCCAATACTCAATACTCTTCTGTGCAGAGGCTCTTGACACTCACTCGCCTCAAGAGGTACCCTCACCCCAACCTACACAGTCAGGCAGGGAGATAGAGGGCCAGAGGAGCTTCCTGCCCAGTCCCTGAAGGTATCACCCACCTCCCAGACTTGGGTTCCCCTGGTGGAAATTGAGTGACAAGATTCCCTCCCCCCACTGGGGGTGGGGATGGTGTGAAGGGGTCCGTGTGCTGGTGGTATTAATGGGCTGGCTGCCACCCGGGCCTCTGCTCCTGGCAGGGCCAGTCCCAGTGCAGACTGCTCCCAGCCCCACCAGCCCAGCCTGGGCTTTCCTCCATTGCCCACCCACCCAAAAAGTTCATACACTCCCAAGGCTTAGCTGGGAAGCCCCACCCTGAGAAGCCTGCACCCCATATCCTCAACACCAGTGTGGTAAACCATCTGTGCACTGTGGGTACCTCCTGACCGCTGCCTCAGCAGGGACACATGTTTTGTAATGTGTTCCCAGTCCTGTCACCCAGCCTCCCTCCTGCCTCAGCCCATCCAGGCAAGGACTGAGCCCTCTGGACAGCTAGCTGGCTTGGCCTTAGGATAGTTATAGCTCTTTCCAAGTCTCAGTTTCCCATCTGGGCACTGGGGGCAGTGAGTCCACCAGAAGGCACAGTTGCCCATTTGGCTGAGGGTGGGAGGCAGCCTCCCTGTCCCACCAGCACTGCCATGCCAATGCTGGACCTGACCAGGTATGGCCAGACCCTCCCTCCTCTGCTCAGGAACCTCTCCCCATCCCCTGGGGCTCCCAGCTAACTCTGAATCAAAGCTGAGTTCTCACATCTGGCCTCTGGCCTCCTCCTACTCTCTCCCCAGCTCACTTGACTCCAGGCCCACTGCATTTTCATCTTCAATTTACTGGGCAGGTTTCTGCCTCAGGCCCTTTGCTGCTACTACCCCTCTGCCTGGAATGCACCTCACCAGTGCTCCCCAGGGTGAGCTTCTGCCCATCACTCAGGTCTGAGTTTGGGAGTCAGCTCCTACGAGAGCCCCCAAGCCGCCCTGGCCATAGCATCCATTCCTGTCCATGGGCTCCAGGCCCTCACCCTACTTAATTTTATCCACAGCACTGGCCACCACCCAAACTGCTGCATATTTTACTCTTTTGTTTGCTCTTCACTGTCTCCCCTACTAGGACATCAGCCCCAAGTGATGTTTGTCCCTTTTGTTCACTGCAGTGCTCCAAGCACCTAGAAGAACTCACTCACAGGAGGTGCTCAGTATTTGCTGACACAGAGCACACATCCCACAGACAACGTGAAGATGGGGCTGAGGTGTGGGCCCAAGACTGAGTCCAAAGTTGATGTTTGCCCCTGACCCATTCTCCCACTCCCACTAGAGAAACTAGGATCTATTCTCTCTCTCTTTTTAAATATTATTTTGGGATCTAGTCGCTAGTGATCACCTACCACCCTCTCTGTCTGGTGAACAAGACCCTTGCCCAAGACCACCCTCCTCCCATTATTGTTGCCCATACAGAATGGGGCCTCACTCTCCTTAATGGGGAGCCCTCACCTTTTGCCAAACTATGGCCAGCCAAGGGGCGCTGAGTCTCAGACCCTCCCCACCATCTGTTGCAGGCCCCCACTTCACACCCCAACTCACTGGCTGAGAAAGTGACACCTTAGCCCAGTGCCTGCCCCTACCACCTTTCTCTCACCTCACAGGGCTCATCCTCTTAGCCACCAGCACAGGAAGGGAGCCATCCGGGAGCCCCTTTCCTCCAGGCCCTGGAGGCTTCTGGTGGGTTCTTGGCAACCAAGTCTGAGGGTCCTGGCAGCACCCCCCACCACATCAAAAATTCAGCCTGCCCCAAGAAACATCCTGGTGCCTCAGCCACACCAGGCCCAGGCATCCCAGAGCCTCCTCCTAGACAAGTTTCCTCTTAGAACACAGCTGCCCCTCAAAACTAAAGTCAAATCTTTACTAATAAGGGGAAGCAAGAACAAAGTGACCCAACTCCATCTCTGACTTAGGGCAAGTCACCACCCTATCTCGACCTCGATTTTCTAACCTGTGTGATGGGGCTAACAACTCAGATCCCCATGAGGAGGGAGGCAATCCAGGGGCTTTGAGGGTAGACCTGACATCCTGGGAGGAGTTAGCAAGGGGCACACTTGGGGCTCTAGCTACCACATTTTAGTGCAGAGAGGGGCGGTGGCTGAAAGTAGGCCTTTTCCCACCAGTGCTCTAGGAAAGAAGGGAGGGACAGCGCTCCACCCACACCTCTGTCTAGGTTGCAGGGCCCAAGTGACACAGGAAGTCAGAGTCCACAACAGGGAGGAAAGTGGCTCCATTTCAAGGGAAACTGAGGCACCTCATGTGCCGCTGGGTACACAGCCAGGCATTTCCCCTGGAGCCCCCCCGCAGGGCAGGGCACCGCATAGCAGAGGAAGGCAGAGTCTAATGCCCTGGGGGAGGGAGGAGAGGAACCTGGAAGGGATTTCCCAGCCCCACCCCCCAACATCTGCCTCCTCTCCTCACCCCTCTCTCGCAACCTGGGTGTGAAAGCAAAACAAACCCCAGCCCTGGGGTGCCCCGAGGGTTAAGAGGGATGTGGAGGAGCCCCCAAAGAGGAATAAAAAGAGACAGAGTGAGAATTCGAGAGACCCACACAGACACACAGAGACAGACTCAGATGTGAAGACAGAAAGAGAAATAAAGAGACAGAGAGATGAAGAAAAACAGAGAGGAGATACGCAGGGACAACCCCTCCCCAGACACACGGCGAAAGACTGAGAACAGGGAGGCGGCCACAGAGAGAGGGGCAGAGACGCAGAGACACAGAGACCTGCAGAAACAGGGCCGGTGAGGCCCACAGAAACCTGGAAAGGCAGACCCGGAAAGTCAGTGAGCGACCCCAGAGCCACCCAGAAATCGGAGCGGGAGCGGAGGCATGAAGTGGGGCCCACCGAGAAGCGCCCCGGCCCCGCACCGCGCTCCAGCCGGGCGCTCCCTCCCCTCGGGCCCTACGTGGCTCAAACCCCGGGCTCCCAGCCCCGGCCCGCACCCTCCCGCCCAGCCCGGGCCGGGCCGCCACCACCGCACCTTGTTGAAAGCGAAGAGCTCTTGCTTGAGCTTTTCGCGCTGCGGGTCAGCGCCCTGACGCCGGAACCGAAACTTCATCATCTTGGGTTTAATTGCGGGCGTCGCGCCCGCCACCGCCACCGGTGCCTCCCGCAGGATGCGCCGTACGGCCCCGCTGATCCTGAGGCGCAGGCGGGGAGCCAGGAGGTGCGCCAGGCGGCCCAGGCTCCGGCGTGAGAGGCGGAGCCTTCACGGGGCGGGGGGCACGGAGCGCGACTGACGCACCACCGACCAATAGGCACGCCCTCAAGGCGCCAGCCCCGCCCCTGCAGGCCAGACAGTGGGGGAACACAGGGCCCTGACGTTTCTCTAGGATCGCAAAGGGGCCTCTGCTGAGCTTGCGCGGCGGCGCGGGGCCTGCCGGGACTTGTAGTCCGCAAGCTAAGGTTCCAGCGTGGGCAGCAAGGAGCGAGCTTTGGAAGCGCTGGTGTGTGCTGCCTAACCTAGAGGACTCCTTTTCCCTCTTCCAACCAGCGAGAGACGTGCTTGCTCAGGTAACGAAGCAGCCTTATCTCGAAAGCCAGAAGAGTTCTGACTGGTGCAACTCCCTGGCCCCTCAGCCTCAGTTTCCTCATCCTTGCCACTGGCCCAACGTTTAAGTTTCCTGGGACACCACTTTGTTCTCCCGGGTGCCAGAACACCTCCCACCGACATGCTTTTTGCCCCAGCTGTGTGATCAAGACGTAATGAATTAGAAAGGCCCTCAGCCCACAGCCCTTAGGGAACTCCTACATATCCCTCAGGAACTGACCATAACGCTCTATGTGGGAGTACAAGGGGTTCTTAGGAGTTCCACCAGCTAAAAAAGAGGAACAGAGACCCAGCAGAGTGGTTCTTCCTCAGGAGGGCACAGTCGGGAAGGTTCTGAGATTGGATGTGGGCTTTTCCAAGATGGGAAAGGGCCTCCCTTGCCAGGAACAGTGTAAAAACACAGCTGTGCCTCCACTCTCTGGGGGACAATGAACTTGTCCCCACCCTCCTTCCAGGCCTTTTCTCATCTGGACAATGACCTCGAGGCTGAACCCTTTTTTCCAGGCTGAAGATAGGCAGCCCTAGGCTAAGAAGGGCTGGGCAGGTCCCAGGTGTCAGAAGTGTAGGTGGGGGCCGGCGCACCAGGTCCCAACCCCAGCAGTTGTGTCAAAGGAGGCAGCCTGATTGCTGACCCACGAAGGCAGCTGCCAAGCAACAGGGGCCTGGCTGCCCCTCCACCCATGACAGCCCTGCTCAGCACCTCCCTGAGCTGGGGGCTGGATCTGGCAGAGGGGTGGGGCGTGGAGCAGTATGGTGAGAAGGGGGAACATGTGGAGAATAACAAAGCCTGATATGTGGTATGCACTATTCAAAACGCTTTCCTCATTTCAACTGATTTAATGCTCTCAACAGTTCCGTGAGGGAGGCATCCATGTTACCTCAGTTTTACAGATGAGGATGTTGAGACAGATGGGTTAAGGCAAGAGGGGTGTTGGCTTCAGCCCTGGGCAGAGCTGGCTGGACTGAGAGGGGTCAGCCCCATTGGGCCACCACTCATCCCACACTTAGCACAGGTAACTCAGGCCTGGGTTCTGGGCCCTGCCCTGCCACCCACGGACAAGACCTGAGCTCTAGGTGCCTCTTCTGCAAAATGAGGGCCTTGGGTGGGGAAGTGCTAAGACTCTGATCATTGGTATCCCAACTTCACAATTTAGAAGCTGTAAAAATGTGGATAATACTGGTGCCTACCTCAAAGGGCTGTTGTGAAGATGAAATGAATTAGTATTTGTAAAGCCCTTCAATTGTGCCAGGCAGACGGGAAGAGCCATGTAAGTGTTAGCTGTCATTAGAGTTCTTACTAATAACTACTTAAGCTCTTCTTCTCTGTCACCCTGGGCAAATCCCTGCCCTTCCTCAGTCTCCAGTCTTTGAGATGGGACTTAGTCAGCAGGTAATAAGCATCCCCACTCAGCTCACAGTCTAGGGGGCAGGACCGAGCTGAGTGGGGACCACAGCCACCATGAGTTCACTGTGCTGTGATGGGGGCTCATAGGACACCAGCAGAAGCATGTGATCCAGGGAAGGTGAGCTGAAACAGGTAGAGGGATAGAGAAGGGTCTGCTGGCAAGTAGGGGTCCTCGAAATGCCAGAATCCCCCCACACTTGTTAACAATACAGACTCTACATCCACCAAATGTGAATGCCCGTAGAGTGGGATCCCAGGATCTGAGTTTTCAGTCGGGCCTTTCCCAAGTGACTCTGAGGCACACCAGCCCTCCTACAGTCAGGTTGATGGGGGTTCAGCTGGTATACTGAGGTACAAATGAGGTACATTTACATGGGGATAAATCAAGACCTGGGCAGATGGGCCCAGCCAGCCCATGCAGCCAGGCAGGGTGCAGGAATGGCCCTGGGAGGGGACCATCCCCCAGGCTGGGGTCTGGAGCACTGACTGTCTTCCCTCCCCTTGAGCTGGAGCAGTCCAGGCCTGGGATTAGCAGGGTAGCCCAAGGCAACAAAGCCAGGCTGCCCTGCCACATCTGCTCATTGCTTGAGGTAGGAATTGGAAGCTCAGGAGAGCCCAAGCAAGGGTGTGAGCACGGAGTCATCAGTGACTTTAGGCACCCCTATACCTATCATGGGGGATGGAGGAGGAGGCTGCCTGAGTCAGTAGCACTGGAAGGAAAGCTGCTCCCTCCTGCAAATTCAGGTCAACCTCAGGCTAGCGAGGACCTGCCGCCTTCAGACGTTTCCTAGATGAGGTGGCCTCTCTTTCCCTCATTCCTCCTAGGCCACCCCAGGACCCTATCCCAGCTCTGAGGTGGGAACTAGGTCTGACTTCAAATCCTAAGCCATCCCCTTGCTAGCTGGGTGACCCCAGGTAAGCCACTTGCCTACCTTTGGCCTCAGTTTCCTCATCTATAAAATGTCAAGATGATTCAGGACAGGAGTTGAGCACAGGGCCGGGCAGGCTCTGTACCTGGTAAGCCAGCTCTTTTGAGGACTCTCATTCCAGGACATGCTGGCATCCTTCAGGTGCATCAAACAAGCGTCTGCCTCAAGACCTTTGCACTTGCTCGTTCCTTGCCTGGAATGCTTGGGTTCACTTAGCCAAATCTCTCACTTCATACTGGTCATGACTTAAATGACACTTGCTACAGGAAGCCTCCCTGACCTGTTTCCCCCATTCTGGACGCCCTCCCCTGCCTGTTTCTGTCCCTCTTGTTGCCCACCTGACACCTTTATTTTACATGTCTTCCCAGCTTGAGAATGTGCTTCCTGAGGGCTAGATTTTTAATGCTGTTCGTTGCTGTGTTCCCCGTGCACGGAACAGTGCCTGGCATGCAGTAGGTACTCAACACAATTCGAAAATATTTATGTAAGTTAAAACAAGATCTGAAGTAAGTATGACAAAATGTTAATGTGTATAGGTAGTGGGTGCTTCTGTTACTTTATTTTTCACTGTGTTTGAAATATTTCATTAAAAAAATGAAACAATTCATGCTATTTAGGAGTCAAGTCCACAGGAAGTTGTGATTGATGAGATGGTGGGGGCAGGTGGGTGAGGAGTGTCCTGGAGACAGGCTGGCATGCATCAAGGGTGTCTAGAGATAAATGCTGTATCTGTCATTTCTCTCTTTGAATGCTTGCGACAATGGCTCTGGAGGTAGAAACAAGGACAATCCCACTTTACGGACAGGAAGTGGAAGCTAAGGGTACAGAAGTAACTTGCCTAGGTCACTTGCAGAGGGAAGGAGGGGAAGGGATGACAAGGGGGAAAGTCCCACATGGAGGCCAGTTTGGGGCAGCAAAGAGCAGAAGGAGACTCGGGTGGAGGGGAGAGGACCCTGTCCCCAGGAGTTGGCCCAGGTCCCAGCTGAGGCCATAGCCCTCCTCTGTGCCCACACCATACAAGCAGTTTCTGCTTGGTGGTTCCCCCAGGCGCCTGGCAGGCAGTGGGTTCCTGGCGTGGAGTCTGGGCTGGAGGTAGGGGAGGTGGGGGAGGTGGGGCCTGGACTGGAAGAAGAGGGAAAAAAGCATGCAGGGTTGGGGACGGGCCAGGAGGCTCCTGGGGAGCCTGAGTGGAGAGAAGGGGCCGGTGAGCCTCTCATCCTGTGCAGTGCGCTAAGTGAAGGTGGCTCTAAGGGCGCTCTTTACGGCCCAGGTAGGGGAGGTAGTAGTGGATCTGGGGCCCTCAATCAACAGAGGGTGAATAGTGGATTGGGCATCAGTGAAAGAAAAGCCCAACAGGCAGGGGGAATGTTGAGCAGACCCAGCCTGTCCTCATTTTATAAGGAAGGAAACTGAGGTTTGGAAAAGAAGTGACCTACCCAAGGTCACATGGGGGATAAGAACATGGGTCTTTGGACCTCCAGCCTGCTGTGCCTTCCCTGGCTGTGGGGGCTCAGCCCCAAAACTCACTGAGCCAGGGCATTGTGATGTGCTTTCCTTGGCTCTTGCTGGGCCACAGAACTTTGGGATTCAAGTATACCTGCCCCTTGCAGGAGTTTCCGGCTCCAGGGGCTGAGCAGGTAATCATTGTCATAGGCCTGTTGTGGGAAGGTAGAGCTCTGTGCTTCACTCCTCTCTGTGGCACAAGTTCCTGCCTCTGTCACTTCATCTTTCTGGACCTTAGTTTACTCATTTGCAAAATGGGGTAATAATTGCTACCACTTAACAACACCGAACACTTGTCTGTGCCAGGCACCAGTCATTCGTTTCATCCTATGGCCATTTTACAAAGGAAGAAACTGAGGCCAGAGAGGTTAAGTAATTTGCCCAAAGTCACACAGCTGGTACATGGTAAAGTCAAGCTATGAGCCTAGGTCCCAAAGTGGGGTATTAGAGGCTGTGGTGAGAACTAAATGAGACACTTTGTAAAGGGCCTCACTCACAAAAGTCCAGGAGAGGGCAGAGCTAGCTTCTAGTGTCCCACCTTGGAGTGGAAGCACTAGGGCCACACAGCTCACTCTGGGCTGTGCTGTGCTGACGAAGCCAGTGGTCTGAGCCCACAGGAAGCCCTGAAGAGCTGGAAGACAGGTGACTCCAGCTGGAATGTCCTAGGGCAGAGGGCGCTGGCATGTGCAAAATCTCACAGGGGATCCCTGGCTGGTGTGGCTCAGTGGATTGAGCGCCGGTGTGCAAACCTAAAGGTTGCAGGTTCAATTCCTAGTCAGGGCACATGCCTGGATAGCAGGCCAGGTCCCCAGTAGGGAGTGTGCAAGAAGCAACCAATCCATGTATCTCTGGCACATGGATGTTTCTCTCCCTCTTTCTCCCTCCCTTCCCCTATAAAAGTAAAAAAAAAAAAAAAAAACAAAAAAACTCATAGGGGAGGAAACTCCAGTGAGCTGTGGCCCCTCTGCATTCCCACGGACACTGGGGGCACTGGCTGAGCAGGGCAGTAGCAGGAATCCTAAATTCTCTCCTCTGGGGTCCAGTTCCCAATCCAAAGCAAAGGACAGCTGGTCTGCCCCACTGTGAAGCACCGTCACTTGGACTCTTCTGCCTCACTGTGGGCACAGGGGAGAACTGCACCCTGAAACCTAACTGGAGGATAGCAGTTTCTACAATGACCATAATGGCTCCAAGAGTCAGCTGTCAAATTTTAAGAATTTTTGCAAGTCAGTTGTTAAACCAAAGCCATTATTAAAAATCAAACCATATAAAATTAAATCATTAAAAGCAAAAGTAGTGTTCAAGACTAAGCACTTCCTATTTTGTGTTTTGCTATTGTCTGTGCTCTTCAATTACATCTATTGTTTGTGTGGTGGAAGTGATGTGCTTCTGGACATCTTCACCATTCCTTGTGCAGTTACACTGCGTTAGTAGCTTGAAGTCAGCCATGATGAATGTATTTACACCACAGAAATTGGCAAATACCATAAAGCAGGCTTGACTTATTGTTGATTTTCTAGACCAATGCCATGCAATAGAAATATAATGCAATCCACACATATAATTTTAACTCTTGAGTAGCCAGATTTAAAACAGTAACAGGAAACAGGTGAAATTAATTTAAATAGCATATTTTATTTAACCCAGCATGTCCAAAATATTATTTCAACACATAATCAATATCGAGTAACTAATGATAGATCTTACATTCTCTTTTCATACTAACTCTTCAAATTCTGGGGTGTATTTTACACTTAAAGCCCATCTCAATTCAAACTAGCCACATCCTCAGGTGTTCAACGGCCAAACTGTCCTGTGGCTACTGTACTGGACAGCACAGGTCTAGACTTAAGAAATTGATGGAGAAAATAATAAGGATGCAGATTAAATTTAAAAGTAGTGCTAAGTTCTTTCACATTTTACACTTTTTTACCTTGTAGATGTGATTAAAGATCTTTACAAGGGAGATTGCTGTTGATTATCTGGCTGGGCCCTAAATCCAGTCATTGCAGTGAGGGGGGCAAAGGGAGATCTGGTAAACCGAAGAGGAGCCCATGTGGCCACAAGCCCAGGAGCTGTTGGAGGGAAGGATTGGAATCTCTGGGAGTTTCATGGTCCTGCCAACACTGTGTTCTCAGCCCAGTAATAGTGATTTTGGATTTGTGACCACCAGAACTGTGAGAAAATAAACTTCTGTTGTTTGTGGTAATTTGTTGCAGCAGCCACAGGAAACTAATACAAGCAGAAGCAATTCCATTTACCATATTGTGGGTGAATTAGCACCACAGGTAGGCTACAGACAAGAATTCAGGCCCCCCCCCCAAAAAAAATCAAAAGCATTCTGTGAAAAATGACCAGCTATACAGAATTTATAATAAAGAGTATTGTATATTTTATTTGTAATTTATATACTACACATCTTTTATATTAGTACAATTTATAGTAATGTGTGTATATGACATATGCCAGGTCTGTCTTGTATCCTCAGCACCCAGCACAGAGCTTGGCACACAACAGGATACACAGATATTTTCTGAATGAATGAATGAATGAACATGACTTTGGACCTCAGTTTCCCCCACCACATAACAGCGTTGAAGAAATGGGATGGGCTCTTCAGGTGGGCAGTACTGGTGCCAGATGTGGTCAGAGCACCTACTGTGTGCAAGGCTGGCACAAACAGCTGGTGCCCCAGGATGGGATCTCCCATTTCCTTAAGGCCTTTGCAGGCTTGGGGACTGCTCAAAGGATTGTCACAGGCCTAGAGAGAGGACGCCAAGGAGCCACTGTACAGGTACGGACACTGAAGCCAAGGACACAGCAGGCTCTGCTAGGGCTAGACCCCCTTTCCTTAGCCTTTCCTGTTTCTCAATCCTCCTGGGCAAAGGGCCTCTTTCATCTAAGAACTAGGAAGAATCCCAGTCTGGCTTTGTCACAGCTACAGAAGAGAGGCCCTCTCAGCTCCCCAGCTCTCCATGTGAGCCTCCCAATTCCATGTTCCCAGTCAGGGGCCCAGGCATAGAGTGGAGGTGCCCACCTCTACCATGTACAGTCAGCATGATCTTTGGCAAGTCACTTTTCCACTCAGCTCCAATGTCTCCTCTCTGGGGCATCCAGAGCCCATTGGCCACCCCTGCAGGCCCAACTGGCCAGATCTGTCAGCAGTTTGCAGGACTGAACCCTGACTGGAAACTTGTTCCATCTGGACTCTCCTCACTTAACGGGCAGTTAAGTGGCTTGCCATGTTTCCACAGCAAGAATGTGGCTTAGCAGACTGGCTCGGGGCACTGGAAGCATATGAGGGAGCCCCTACACCAAAGCCCTTTACCAGAACATAAGAGCCAGGGGTGGGACCTGGAGGTTCTAAAACCCTCTGAGCTCCACTCCCACTCCCCGAACGCCTGTCTTGTGCCTATATCCATATGCCACAACTCTACTGTATGCATTTTGAAAGCAAGGACCAGAAAAGTTTTGCTCACTACTGGGGCCACTGTGTGGGCTTGGCCGGAACATAAGAGCTCAAGAATGTGTTTAATGAGCAAAACCACTTGCCTATCTTCTACAAAGAGCAGGCTCTCCCCGCTGCCTTTGCTCATGCTGTCTGTCCTTCACTAGCACATAGCCTCTATGATCACCCCTAGGAGGAAGGGCTTCCCGAGCTCAGCAGGGGACCATCCTGACTCCAGGGCACCCGGACATACCATTTATGAAACCCACCCTCCTGGGAGTGGGAGAGAAAGCAGAAGGTGAGTCCACCCTGGTGGGCAATGAGTTCTGTCCACCACCAACCCGTTTGAAGTTTAAAAAGAAAATAGAGATTAAGGAAGCACCAAAGGCAAGCCCTCTCTTATGACAGCATCAGACAACTATTTCAAAATATATTAGATTTGGTTTTTATTGTAGAGCACATGTATGAGGGCAAAGTGCTGCACACACAACTACAAATCATTTTTGGGGGGAAAAGCTGTAAAAAAACAGAACAAAAAACAAACAAAACCCTGCAACTGCTTTAGTTATGTAGTTCCAACTTGAGGAGTCACGCTGGTAAAGGAGTTCTGGCCCCTGAGAAGGGATTCTTGATGCTGGCTGCCCTAAATTCCTGCAGCCTCAGACCCGGGCCTCTGTGAAACAAGGTCCTCCTACAGTGGAGATACCCTGAGGACTGCGAGGGCCTCTGCTCTTAGCAGGCCTGGTCATGGCCCTAGCTGGCAAGGAGACGTTTCTAACAAACCCAGACCAGTAAAACCTCATAGTCCTCGAGAATCTAAGCAGGCAGAAACTGCCAAAGAAGACTTTTTCCTTTTATTACTATTTTTTAAAAGCCCTCTCCCAGCTCCCATGCCCCATGGCAGAAGAGACACCAACCCAGTGTGCAGACCTGAGCTCTGGCTGTGGCTGCGGCTGCAGGTGGACAGGGGTGGGCACCTTCCTACAGGGATGGTGTGGGTAGAAGGCCCACACTGGCCAATGCAGAAGAGAGGAAAGGGAAAGAAAAAGACAAGAGACCAAAGAAAAAAGTAAACTGAAAACAAATCCCTATTACACACCACAACAGTTTTCCATACTCCAAATGCTAGACTTGGAAGGACACCAGTCCCTCTAGCTAGAAACAATTCCTAAAACTGTTCCAACATGGCAAGTCTAACTGTTTATACAACCACACACACACGCACGCCTGAAAGGAGCAATCCAGCAAAGAGGTGTGCTCTTAGCGAGAGGCCAGGACCACTACAGCCAGGAACCTGTGGGCAGAGCAGGCCGGTGGGTGTGGAGCACTCTGGGGCTCAACCTGCAGCTGTGGGGTGCAGAGGCTGGCACTGTTTAGGCCCTTGCCTAGTCACCCTGAATGACTCAGCCACAGAAGGAAAAGGGTGTCTACATGACTTTCTAGAGCCTGGAGAGCAGGTGACAGGTGGAAGGACAGCAGGACCTCTGTGGAGCCAGTGAGGCCCAGGAGATCTCTACCCAGCTTTGACATGGGGACTGAACTTCATTTATAACACTGAGAAGGATTTACATAAAAAGCAAAACAGTAACTTTCTGAATCAAACATTTTGTGTGGTGGAGTTTTTTGTTTTTGTTTTTTTAATAAAACTGGCCTGACACAGCCCCACTTGAAGATGGTTGCCCTGCATGCCTCTACTGGCTACTCCAGCATGAGTTTCTGTCAGCTTTTCCATCCTAAAAGAAAAACAAGAACTAATTCTGTTCTTCAGCCTTAACAGGCAACAAACCATGGGGGAAAAAAGGGTCAAAAACCCTCCCCCAAAAACAAAAAAAACAGGGTGACTACGTGAGGATTAACCAGAGTTCCAGAGAGGGTGCAACAGGCCTCAGTGCCTCCGCATCTTCACTTTCCGGGTGGGGCTGCCAGCGGCCTCTGAGCAGTCCTCCCCAGACTCGTAGGACTTGCGCCAGTAGTTCTCAGAGCTGAGGCTCCCCCTCCGCCGGTGCGCAGGCAGTAGCACTGAGCGCCGGTTCTCCTCCTTGTCCATCTCCAGGATTCTAGGCCTGCAAGGGGTTGGAGTGGGAGGAGGAGGGAGGAGTTACTCAAGAGGCTGGCCCAGGGCCAATGCCTCCTTCTTCCAAACCCTCTGCACCCAGCGCTGACCCTCATTTGCAAATGGCTCACTCCAGCCTGGTGGTTCTCCCCAGAGGGGTGACACTGGCAGAAGCAATGGCACCGTGGTCCCTACCAACAAAGTGCTAGGGGCCGCTCTAGTCTTTGAGACATGCCCCAAGTACCCTGTGGATCTGCCTGGCTCTGACTCTGTTGGATAGGAAGAGCCCTTCCCTATCACAGCCTAACACCCTGCACAGTCCCGCCCCGCCATCTCCCTCTACTTCTCAATCTCCAGCCCACTACTGCCACTTTATATCTCTGCCTACCTCCTCTCTCTGCTCACCAACCCCCCTAGCCCCTAAAACCACCAAGCTATTCCTGCCTGTGTTTCAGCCCATACGGTACCTCATGCCTAGACTGCCCTTCCCGCAGGTCTTCCTCATCCTTCTGGTCTTAGTTTACCCAGTACTTCCTCAGAAACCTTCCCCAATCCTTCCAAAATGGGCTCCTGGTCCACCATCTTCCAAGTCCCAAGCTTCCCTCCTATCATTTATGTTCAACACACAAGAGTGTCTGGGTGGACTGAAAATGTGAAATGGTCAGGCCACAAGCATTCCCACTTGTCGGAGTCTTGGCCCAACCTCTTCTTGATGGGGATATAGGCCATCAGTCAGAGGTCAAGGGTGAATGCCACCAATGCCACCAACCCAGGGGAACTAGACATAAAGCTTAGAAAGCTGGGCAATGCCAGGCTCCTAACCACCTATCCCAGGCTTCCCTACCCACCTCACCCTCCAGCTGGGCCACAGGGCTACTTTGCCAGCCTTTGTTGAGGATCCTACCTGTGAGCAGCATCAGGGTCTGCCTTGCGGTGGGACCGCTTGGGTTTCAGAGCAGGGTCCCTGTTGTTTCCTGATAGGCGATCTGAAGCATAGCTGGGTGGTAACACGGAGCTGCTGAGGGACTTTGTCTCCAGCCGGGGCGCATCTAATCTAGTCCTGCAAAAGAACCAGGCATGGGAATTACCTGTGACCCTCTGGTGGGGGTATAGATCCTGCCAAACCAACTCTCTCTCCAGGCAGGCTGGAGTATGGAGGCCAGAAGCTCTGCTCTGTGCCCCAGTCTCTTGCAGTTCAATCAGGAATTGGTTTGACTGACTTCCAAAGATACTTCTGAAATTCAGGCTTAGGAGAAGGGAATGAGAAACTTCCATGGATAGGAAGCTGTGGCCCCAGGAGAAAGATCCCAGGGCACTCTTTTCAGTTGGATGAAGCAGCCTCAGGCCCAGAGGGTCTCTGGAGCATTTCCACCTACCAGATGGTTGCAGGCCCTCTGGTGGGCACCAACATACTCTAATAGACAACTTCATCCTCGCCTAAAACACCAAGACAGGAAAGTTCTCCTGGGAAGGGCTGGAGGGAACAGAGTGTAGGTTCCTCCACTCTCTCACACAAGGACACTGAAGCCGTGGCAGAGCCAGGAGGACCCAGGCCCAACTCCACATTCAAGTGCTCATCCCACCACAGCCACCTAGAAGCTTTTGTTCCTTCCAGGATCCTGACTGGGCCAAGGGCATTTTTTTTTTTTTTAAGATTGTATTTATTTAGAGAGAGAAAAAGGTAGGGAGAAAGAGCGGGAGAGAAATATCGATGTAAGAGAAAAACATCACTCGGTTGACTTGCACATGCCCCCAACCAGGGACTGAACCTACAACTCTGCATGTGCCCTGACTGGGGAATGAAACAGTCAACCTTTCACTTTGTGGGATGAGGCCCAATGAACTGAGCCATGCCATCCAAGGCCCAAGGGCTTTTGAAGGTAAAGTCCCCACCTAGTACCAGGTATGAATTTCAAGGAATATACTGCCTAGTAAAGGAAGAACATGCAAGGTAAGGTCAAGGAAGAGGGGTTGTAGAAACTGGGTAGGGAGGTACCCAGGGCAGTGATCTGAAGCCAGGCCCAGGAAACCTCAAAGAAGCCCAAGGCTCCTTGTAGAATACAGGGAAGGCTGGCAAATCAGGCTGGTACAACAAAGGGCTGGAGAGATGCCTGGGATGAGGAGTAATGAAGGTATGGCGGGCAGAAGGCCCCAAAAGCACCTTTCCCATAGGCTGCTGGGCACAAAGTAGTAATTTGGTTCTGAGGGAATAGATGCCGTGATCAGGGCAGGAGTCAAAGTGGAGGTGGGATCAGACGCTGCTTTGCCCTGGGCTGCCTGCCATTCTTGGTAACAACCACATCCAGTCCTCATTGGTCCCCCTACCCCTACTGGCTAGCCTGCTGTAAACAGAGGGAAAACAGAGTCAGAAAAGCAGCTGGTCACATATCCTGGAAGTCTTGGGAGAAAGGTTTATGCCCAGGTGAAAATGCAAGCCAGATAGGCAGGAGTCACAGGGCTTTGACCCTGGACAAGGGTGCTCTCCTGAGGCCAGGAGGGGGAACATACATTCTGACACTCTCAGGCTCAAACTAGTGGGCAGGCAGGCAGGGTGACTGGTCCCTGCCCCTTTGCTTTGGCCTCACAGAGGCGGAAGTCAGCAGGGCACAGCTCCCCTAGTCTTAGCCTCCACTCTGGATACTCTAGGATCAGGGAAGCAGGACCCAACAGCAAGAGAAGACCTAGCCCTTGTCACCATCCCTATCTGGGCCTCAGTTTTCCAGTCTGGGTGGTAAAGGAGGGAGAAATGTGATGGGCTGTAAGGCCCCTTTAAGTTCTCAGGGTCTAGGAACCAAAGACAAGTCACCTCTCTCAAGACTAGAATTCTTTTTTTTTATTTTTTAAAAGATTTTATTTATTTATTTTTTAGAGAGGGAGGGGAGGGAGAAATAGAGAGAGAGAGAGAAACATCAGTGTGCGGTCGCTGGGGGCCATGGCCTGCAACCCAGGCATGTGCCCTGACTGGGAATCGAACCTGCAACACTTTGGTTCGTAGCCCGAGCTTAATCCACTGAGCTACACCAGTCAGGGCTAGAATTCTTTACAGGAACACCAGGAAGAGGTGGTGCTGGGTAACACCCGGACAGGAAAAAGAGATGTAAAATCACCTGAGCCCTGAAGGCCTCTTCTTTACCAGGACAGACCTCACATCCCTGTGCTAAGAGTTCCAGGTGGCAGAGATCAGACCAAATGAGACATCAGCCATTAAACTTGACTTCAAGGACTCCAAGGGTCTTGTGGAGGAACATTCCCTTCTGACACCACAAAGCTAAGTCCTACACTAAGGTCCCACTTGTGCCAGGGAGCACACACTCAGAGCAGACAAAAACCCCTTGAAACCAAAAGCCCCTGGTGAGCAGGGACAAGGACCCTGGAATTGATTCCTTGGGTTAGTGACAGATGGCGAGTAAATAGCAGAGCCACTGAGAGAGCCCAACCTCCAGGGCTGGAAAACACAACCTTGTCCCGCCACATGGGCACAGCTGACACAGGCCAAGCCTTGGTATGGCCCTGCCCTTCCTTAGCTGCTTACTACCTGACTGGCCTGCCTGGGCAGCCAGGGGGCAGTAGTGGCAGCTCCTCACTATGGGTCTAGGGCTGCCAGAGAATCTGAGGAGAAAGGTATAACCAGCCCAGACTGGATAGGCCAGGAACATGGACCAGCTCCATTGCTCTCTAGCTGTCTAAATGAGGGAAGGGGGTTGTTCTGCCCATGTGGCAGCTCTGCAGCTACTGAGGGGCAGCCCTCAGAGGAGTGACCAGAGGTGGCCCACCTGAAGTCCAGACTCTTATACCCACTTTGAGGACAGTATAAGCTCTGGGGCCCCAAAGGGCTCCTGACACATCACCTGGAGCTGTTACAAACACACCTCAGAAAAGCTGGAAAAACTCCTGCCCTCCTTCCACTTCCAAAAAGCCACAAGGCTGCAGGAAGCCAGGCTAGAGCCAGATCCCAAGCCCAGAGCCCACCAACAGCTTAACTTCAGAGCACACCCCTCTTAAAAAGCAGCAAACACCCAGGGAACAGGCCAGCCCCTCAGGGTTCAGTGCATAAAGCCACAAATTTAGAATAAGGAAGTCCAGTTCTATCAGTAAGGTCTGGGCCTTCTCAAGTAGCAACAGATCTGAGCCAGCATCCAGGGATCCAAGCAAGGCACTGGAGGTGAGGGCTAACCAGGCAGACCATCACACCAGAAAGGTCACCCAGGGTGTCAGGACAGGGCCCTGGTACAGGGGAAGCCAGAATAAAGGGAGGATGGCAGCATTAATGGGACACATTACCATGTGACCTGAGGGGACAGAAGGGAGTTGACCTGTCCCAGGCGTTCTCCTCCTGTTCTTTTGTCACTCGTGGAATCCTTCAGAGAAGCTGCTGAGGAGGAATGCACTGACTGTGGGGGTGGGGAGCAATGCTAAATTGGAGAGCAAGTCACTTGCTTAGGTCACACAGCTACAACCCCACAATGGCCTCTGAAGCCCAGGTGAGCTCACTTCACTGCAGCAGGACAGAGCTGAGCAGGCAGACCACCCTTTCTGGGAGGTGGTGAACCGGTCAGCACTTCAGACTCCACTGCCAACCACTCCCCCAAATTCTGGCTGCACCCTCACCCAGTATTCTTGAACTACAAACCCTGGCTTTCCCAAGGGAGGCAGGAAGCAATGTGGTGGGCCTGTCTGAGCACCCGTTTATTGAGTGATGAAGGCCCCCAGGCCTAAGCTTCTAGCATGTCTGAGTATCAGACTTCACAAAGCCCAGATCTGTACTACTGTCTCCCCTACAACAATATCCACCCCCTTGGGGGCAACCTCATCTTCTACCAGCCTCCCTCAAACATCACCCCCTCTCCAACTCCTGCCCTGCTTCCCCAGAAGGGGTAGACAGGCGTAGAGGCCTGCCATAGTCAGAAGAGCCTAAAAGGCACATGAGGGCTATTACCCAAAGACAGGGTACCCCAAGCACATAGTCCTGGGCTTCCAGTAGACCTCTCCTCAAACACAGCCTGAAAGACACCCAGGCCCCAAGGGGAGCCTTGCCAAATCATTCAGCCTGACTACAACAAGTGCCCAAGAATCCCCTAGTCCAGGCCTGGTAAAGTCTAGATACCATCTCCCAGGAACTAGAAGACCAGATACCACACTTGTTTTCCTTCACCTGAGCCACTGAACAACATGCCCCCTGGAGCCCCTTCCCACCCACTCCATGTGCCTCTGTTCACACTGTGCATCGACTGGGCATCATCTTCCCCAGCGCCTACCATGCCCTGGCAAGGTCAAAGGGGAGGGAGGGGAAGGGAGCAGCTAGGGAAAGCAAACATGGCACGCTGGAATTTCACCAGGCCCAGGCACCACAACTGGTCCAGTTTACAGGTGAGAACAGAAGGCTAAGGTCACTCACTGACTTACATTCAGCAAGGGAAGGGGCAGAGCCAGGCCCAGAACCCAAGCCAGTGACACCCCGCCCCAGGGGGCCTCATCACCCCCTTTCTCCTTGGACAGGCTGTGAGTACAACAGGCTAGTCAGGCCAAGTAAAGTGGGTAGGGAGAGTGTGTGGGCACACACTCACTAGGGAGGAAAAGGTAGCATAGGAGACAAGAACCATGAAGACAGACTCGAGGGCAAGGGTCTCAGCGGGATGATGTCTCAGGCCTGGTCAGGGAAACCAAAACCTGTCCACTCATCCTCACCCACCCAAGGGGGTAGCCTCAATTCTCACCTCAGCTTGTCCATGCACACAGCCTCCCCACTACAGCTGCTCTACTTTCAGGGAGGGTCTCCCCCTGACCTTGGGAGGCCTCAGCCTGAATGACTAAATAAACTGTTTAGCTCAGCCTCCTACAATTTCTTCCATGTGAGTCCCGCACCCCAATGCTCACGCTTCAGTGGCTACCCAGCACCCTCCAGATTTCTCTGGCACAGCACAAAGGCTTTTCTATCTTAGACTCTATCAATTGCTCTAATCCACTTCTGGGTTCCAGAATGGACGACCTCAGAGTCCCAGACTCTAAGCCTCTGTAAAGAGCATCTCTTCTGCCTGAACTGTCTTTGCCCCTAAGCCTCTT